AGAAGAACCATGTGCCTAGTTTTCCCAGAGCCCCCTTTGGCAGCAGCTGCTGGCATCTCGCCCATCTCACAAGCCATGTCCATAAGCGTGTCTGCAGTCACACCCTTAGATCTGGCACTAGCCATCTTCTGGAGGCCTCACAGCATGAGCTGTAGAAATGATGGCTCTGGGACTGAGCTTTCAAATGGTCCTCCACCTCTTCCTGACAGTCCCTGCTGGCTCTGATGGTCAACTCACCTGCTGGAAGGAAGCCAGCAGCCCTTGAGCACAGCCTGTGTTACTACTGTGCAAACTTGCCTGGCTCGATAGTAGCTGGGCTGAGAGCCCAGGGGAGGCTTCATCTCCAGTATAGTCTGTCCACGGCACTGCAAGTTTCCGACTGTCTTTCTATTATCTGTGTGGTTTTGATACCAAACTGGAGGCTCCTAGCATTCAGGACTCAAGTGATGCTTCAAGCAGTGCTGACTCGGCAAAACAGCACCTGTTCCTGGACTGGTTCACCCTTAACCTTCTTGTGGTCACTTTTCTTTTCCCTTCTCTGGGTCACCTTCAAAGTCAGGGTTTTAGTCTCACTGTCATCCCCGGCCCTGCTCTAGTCTGGCACCCAGATAGAGGGATAACTCAAGGTCAGAGGTGTTCAAGGCCTGGAGGACATTTTCAAGACTTTGATTTGGAAAACCCTATTGTACTGAAGATAATGTCTATAACCCAGAGAAGGTGACAAAGAGTCAGTGTGTGTTCATGAATGTGTACCAGGCCTTCAGCTATCTTCTTTCTACTCAAGTACCCATTGGTGGGGGGGACACATTGCCCTGGGAACACAACTTCAGAGGCATTTGTGATGTGTATGTGTGGGCGTATGGTGTTGTGTGGTGTGTAGTGCGCTCGGTGTGCTTGATGTTGTATGTATAGTGTGGTATGTGTCTTGTGTGTGGTGTGCCTGTTGTGTTTGGTGTGGTGTGAATGTTATGGAATGGTGTGGATATGTTACAGTATACGTTGTGTTGTAGTATGTGTGTGTTGTGTTTTCATGTGTGGTGTTTGGTATGGTGTGTATGTTGTGGTATGGGGTGAGCATTACAGTGTGTGTGCGTGTGTGTTGTACTGTATTTTGGTGTGCGGTGTTTGCTGTGGTGAATATGGTGTGTGTGTGTGTGTGTGTGTGTGTGTGTGTAGTGTGATTGTGGTGTAATCTGTAGTGTGCTATGAGCTGAGGATCAGCCCACTGAAGACAAGGGCCCCTTGGTCTTAATCCCTCTCCCTCTCTTTCTGAGAGCCCAGTGTCTCCATGTCTTGTTTTTCTCTATTCTTTCTTCCTTGCTACTTGCTTTAGTTTCTGCCTCATTGTGCCCTGGGCACGAGTTTATGTTTTCACTTTCTATAATATAAACATGACATAAACTTTCCATGACATAAACAGGCTAAGGCGAGGAACATTCTGTATTCTCTAGATTATGGGGAAATTGTTCACTGTGACTGCTTGTTATGCTTGCTTATAGATTATAAATTTGAGAAAGTGGTCAAAGGAGTTACCATAGACAAGATGAGATTAATAATTCATTAGGGTCATAGGCTACCAAAGAGGCACATCCATGATGACAGACAGTCTGAACATGAGAGGCAGCCTGAATAAGGAAGGAGAAAATACAGGTAGGTACCATGTCCTTGTTGGTAAAAGCTCCTGAGGACACCCTGAAGAGGTATAGTGAGAATTTTGGTTTTTTAAAAAACATTGAAATGTTATGTGAATATGTTTTTGTTTCAAGCCCAGGTGTGGGATATGGGGCTGCTTCAGATTGTCCACAGCAGCTGATTATGATTTGTCTCGTGCTCTGGTAGAGGTGTGATTTTGCCCACTGAGGATAGTTTATGTTTGGAATTCAGGAAGACTCTTGAGAGGGTATTTAATTGCAAGAGCCCTGAGTGTGGAGGCAGCTGCTGTTGCCCTTGTTGCTGGTTGCTGTTTTCTCCTGCTGCTGTTGACAGTTGCTGTTTGTTTGCTCTTTGCTGGATTGCTGGTTGCTGGTTAGAGATATCCTGACTATGAAGATCAAACTTGCCCCAAGGAATTTTATGTCCCTAAGCAGCAGAAGTCATTTAATGATATCAGCACCCCTTTTCCCCTCTATCCTTAAGTGGTTGGAAGGGATTGGGGTTGAAAAGGGTGTTAGGAAAAAGAACCCAATAAAGTAGCCAAAAGCCTGGCTACAGAGAGGGAGATGAAGATCCGGGAGACATTCCTGTATATGTCCCTTTGTCCAGCAGCAGCAGAGACCCTTATGTCCTTATTCTAGGAACTCTTCATTCCACAGGCCTAAAGAAAAGAACGCCTGATATTTTTCTGCAAACAGTCCTGGTCTAGATATAAACTGGAGGATAAAGCCATGACTTTTAGTGGAAGAAATCAACTTGAGGTAGGACGTTCCCAGAGCTGTAAGAAGGTCCCGCCTTCTTACAGCTGAGAGTTGGATGGTCCAGTATGGCCCTGTTGAAGACTAAAGGAAGAAACTTGGAGATAGCATGGACTGAGCCATGGTCAGATGTGAACTATCGAGTCTATCCTCTTCCCAGGACAGAGCAGACTGCACTAGCTACTCCCTGCTGACAGACTGGACCTGCCCATTCAGGTGGACTAGGGACTAGGGTAGGGAGAGGGCAACCCTGACTAAAACTTTTCTCTCTTTCATCTAATTGCAGATGGGACAAATTGGTTCCAAGATTTCTCCATGGTTGCCTCTTGGCTGCTTTCTCACATACTGGGCAGAATTAGATTCATAGACACTCAAACAAGAAGACCTGATTTTCTCTTGTTAGAGGCATGTGACAACATCCTCTGAGGTTTTTCCCTTGCAGAAAATGGTGGGAGAATTTGGACCCATTTATATTTATAGAGCCTTCGTGTTAGCAGAGCCTAAAGATAAAAGAGTTTGTCACCAAGCAGTTTGTCACCTCAAGTCTAGCCAGGGACTTAAGTTTGACGCTGGTAATAGTGGATACTTCTTGATTATGGGTGCTCACTGCCACTAATCCATGAGCTTATGCAATTTAAAGGACTCTAAACTTTACAGTCTAAAGAAAAGCTTGTCAACCCCTGTTCCCAATGCATGTCCCAATGGATAAAATTCACCTGGACAAATCTATACTGGTTATAAATCAAGACAGGTGCTTTGAGTCCAACCAATTCAACAGTGAGTCTCCTATCCAGAATAAACCACTGGGTTCAGTTTTATAGAGCGACAAATGACTTTTGTGTTTACATTAAATTGCCATGGACTGTTTGAGTTCAAGCTGCCTCTGAAGATGGAGTCCTGTTTTCCCTCTTCAGACCCAATGTTTGTTTCGATGTCCCTCAGAATCACCTTTCCTGAGTCGGGATAGCCCACTAACTCCGTGACAGGGAAAAGAACCATAAATAGCCAAAGAGTGAAGGCATTGTGACTATTATTTATATCACGAAATAAAATTTATCTGTGTCTGCTACTACACTCCTTCAAAACAAGGAACATGGTTACGGTAGATCCCTCTATGTATTGTATGAAGACTGTCTTGTGTTTTATATAGGGTTTCTCTGGGAACTTACCATGCCCCATAGTTTAATAGTATGTACACAGGTCATATGAATTTATTACCTATGCAGTTTGGATTTTACTGTCTTATATTAAGTGGTTGTGATACAGTACTATCTGCTAACCCAGATAACTGCCATGACATTGGCTGTATCAACTTGCAAAAGATGGACACAGATGGGCTTGTTGAGTGCTGATCTAGCAATGTCATTGCATTTCAAAATATGACTGTTTTTTTTTTTTTTTCTGGAATAGGAAAGAAGGCCAGAAAGCCTCAGCAAGTAATGAAGATATGAGAATGTTATATAATGTATGCAAAATGTCAACGTTCAAACTTCTGCTTAAATCAGTCAAGTTCTCGAGCTACTTTCTGTAACGGTTATAAGGACTAGCTTAAAAAACAAAAATATGTGACTAATCTGAGCTCATTTAAATGTTAGGGTTTTTTTTTTTCTCAAGTTCCATCCATATATTTCACAGTACTAGACTAGTATAATTGACATAGGTGTTTCATAACCATGCTTGGAACCCATGGTAATGCTGTGGTCAGAGGGATTAAAAGGGAGAACACCCCTCTTCTCTGTCCAAGGTCAGCTAGGTCTCAGGGGACTTTGAGGCATATCTGTGGGTAGTTAATCACCTGTTCTCCTGCTCAGGGAGACCATGAAATCCTCTCTCTCTTGGACTGACACCTCCCTAGGCACAGTCTCCTCTCAGCACGAAGCAACTGGAGCCGTTATTGCTCTCCTACCATGACAACTGGTGTGCACAGCTATGAGAGGTGGGGAATGACAGAGAGTTAGGGGGGACATAGGTAAATCAAGAACGGGCACTCTGGGAAAGAAGCAGTAGGAAGAAGTGGCACGCAGGTTTCAGAACAGGATCAATAAGGAGAGGGGAGTACCCAAGGGCCTAGAAACTACTCAAGTCAGGGTCTGTTTAGGGACCCCCCAGTCTTAGGCCTTTCCCCTCCCTCCACGGCATGCTTGTCTGGCGCTCCCAGGTGTTCAGTTCTCTCTGTGTGCCAGGGAATGAACTCAGAAATCCCCTGCACTGTCATCGTCCCTGGTCCATGGTGTGTGGCATCATGTGTGTGCAGTAGGACTTGTGGCACATGCGGTGCGATGTGAAGTGCGTACAGATAGGCACTAGCCACGCCATCACACTAAGGTAGATGAGGACCATGTTTGTTTGCTGTGTGTTGTGTTGTGGTGTGGTGTGTGGGGGTGGTATGTATGTGATACGGCGTATGAGGGATATGTGTGTGATGTGGTATGTGTGGTTTGTGTGTGTACAGGTAAGCATGAATGAGATCTTAACGCTAAGGTGGAACAGAGCCTGTTTGCTTGGTATATGTGTGTGTGTGTGTGTGTGTGGTGTTTTAAAATGTGTGGTGTTCACACTAAGTCAGAGACAGACACTGTCGGTTTAATCTTTGTTAAAAGCATCACAAATGATTTATTGATTTTTTTTTTTTTAGAAAGGAAAAACAAAGAATTCATCACCTCTGCTATGCCCACATGCCAGGTACGTACAGGGCCCAGTGTAGGGTGGCATGAGCCCCTGAGACAATAGCATCTGGAATGCCCATGGGGCTTTTGTCCCTGGCTGTACCATGCATGGCACCTCAGCTAATGAGCAGGGAATCCCTGTGCCTGCATAGCCATCTGCAGTTATGGAGATGAAGACAGGGGAGGCTCTTGGGTCTACACGCTCCAAATGTCCTTAATAGAAATAGTAACAGAAAATCCGAATAGCTAGGGAAGGCCTCCCCGGGTGTCCTTGAGAGTGACACGGAGTGCTCACAGAAGGCAAAGACCTGCAGCCGGTACCCCAGGCACTGGTGAGCTAACGTGGAGGGCTACATCCAGGGCTTCTGTGCTGCCCTTGGACCTGGTGGGGACTGTGTGGTGTGTGAGCATCTTCTTCTGTGGGATACTGGGGGACAGCAGTGTGGGAACACGCATGGGGGAAAGGTCTCTGTGTAGGTTTCTTTTGAGACAGCAAGAAGGTGTGTGGGGCAAAGGTCTTAGAGTGTCATGGCCTTCACTGGTACCAGGTTTCCATTTGCAGCCCCTCACAGGGAGGGATGGCCTGCAGTCACCTCTGGAGGGACCTCTGAGCCTCAGAGAGTGGTGGAAAGTGAGAGATGTTGGGGTACAGTTGAAATGCTCTCATAGACTAGCTTTGTGCCACATACGGCTGCCTCCTTGGTCTGTGTTCTCCTGACTGTGACATGAGTGTCTGGACACGAGACCGAGTGCTGGCGCTGCCCTGTGAGAGGGTCTGCCCTGGACCTCTCCTCCTATATAGGCCACATCTTTTCTCCAGGGAGAACTGGTGGGTGCTGGTGAGTGCACCCAGGCCTCGCTCCAAGCCAGCCTGGGCTCTGGTGGGGCAGCAAGAGTCCGGAGGTGGGAGGAGGAAAAGGAAGGGGAAGGGGGAGGGGAAGGGAAGGGAATGGAATACTGACTTCAGTTTCAAGGCAAAAGGTGAATTGTGCCAGCTCACAGTGTCGACCTGGGCTGGGTCCCTGACTCGGCAGTGGGAGCAGGCAGCAGGCGACTATGGAGCTGCCTCTGCTGCTTTCTTTCTGTGACCCTGAGAAGGTCACTGTCTCTGAGTCCTCTACTTTCATCTTACTAGGAGACACTGCCCTCCCACACCTCTTCTGGTTGAGTCTGCATGGGTCCCTCAAGCCATAAGGCTTCAGAGCATGTTGTATTCAGCTAACGTGCCTTTCTGGGGCCTGTAGACTCTTCTAGAATCCAGACCTGGGTGAAGCCAGTTATCAGCCTAGAGGCTGTGGAAGGGCGCATCCTGCTGGTTGGAGCAGGAACTGCATATAAGGGTCCCTTCCTTTCTTGTGTCCCATCCCGTAGCCCTGAAGGAAAACCAGAGAGATCTTTGCTCCTCTAGACCCAGCTCTGAGCATCCTGAAAAAAGGGGTTCTGAGAGTGGGATTCGGACAAAACTTAGGCGGATTCTACTGCCTGGCCTTGAAAACAGAAAGCTAAAAGAAAGAGCCCCCAAACTCAAATAGGTCTACCTGGGCAGGTATTTACACTGCAGTGGAGAGAGAGGCTACCTAGAAGGTGGTGCTCGGGAGGGCTGTCCCATAGACTTCCTGGCTCTGGGGTCCTCTGCTGGGCCAGTGACTGTGGGGCTGGGGCTGAGCAGGTCTACAAGCCTGGAGTGGGGGGGTAGCTGCAGGCTTACCCCAGGAACCGGCTGGTCCAGCCCCAGGCAGGAGATGCCAGGCCTGGGCTGCAGTGGTAAGTTGGGGCAGCATGTTCAGGTCTAAGGACTGTGATGCCTCAGAGTCAAGGGTGAGGACTTTGCGTGGCACCACAGGCCTGTGTCCAGGTGGGTCATGAGTCTGCTGCCCCAGGATCCCATGGGCCAACTGGGGCTGACAGGGAGAGGTGTCTGTCCTCTGAGTGGGGACAGCTAGAGGAGATGGCCTTTCCACAGGTCTCAGAGGGGGGCGTCGTTCCAGCTGCACTTGTGGTCCTGCACTCTCTGTGGAGGAAGCAGGAGGAGAGTGTCCTGGCCAGCTGGCGCCATCAGCCCACCAGGTAGCTATGCATCTCACGAGAGTTGATGCTCAGGACCACGCCCGAGTGGTTGCCTAGGAAACAGAAGAGTGAGGATGGTGGGAGACTGACCACACAGGAACTCGGGTGACCTCAGCAGCACATAGGGACAACATGCGGGGGGCGTGGTGAGGTTTCCTCAGCCTGTGCTAGGTGCAGGGTGGGGGTGGGGTCTCCGGTGTCCTAGGTGGGGACAGGAGGGAAGTGCCAGGTGCCGCCACAAGCAGTGGTCCAGAGGACTGGGTAGGGAGGCACTCACTGACCTGCGTGAGGGCTACCCCTGGCATCGGCAGCAGGGGGGTATAGGAAGGGCTGAGGCTCTGCCCCCTCTTGGAAAAAAACACTGTGGTGTGAGGTTTGGACCAGGAGGCAGGAAGGGAGATGGGGGGGGGGGGGGGCGAGAGGAGGAGAAAGGGAACACAATATTTGTCAGAGATGGGTTAATAGGTGTCCCTGTGCTGGCTGCATGATGAGACTGGGGGATGTTCTCCAGAGTCTGTCTCCCTGTCTTGCTGTGTGCACAAAATGGATGACGCTAGTCTGGGGGTTGGGGGCATGGTGCTACCTAAGCTGTCGAAGCCAGTATTTGACTACCAGGGCTGTGCCTGGTGGTTCATGTGACTCTCATGTGACTTTCCATCAGGGCCTCCACCTCATTGGCCCCGGTAAATCTGTGACATCAGTCACCAGGGCACCACAGAGAAGGACTGTCATAAGCAGTGCCTAGTCCATAGCAAGGTTCCCATTAATAGTGTCCTGGTGCTGATACTAGGAACTTCACAGCACGTCACTGGAGGATAGTGGACCCCTGTCTTCCTGAGACCCCACACCCTCCCGGAGGAGGCTATCATTTCCTTGCCTGAGAGTAAAGCTCGGCTATCTGGGAAGTGCTCCGGGCTGTAAGGCACAGGGCTGTGCACTCAGGACTGGCTTCCTTCAGTTCCCTCTTGTCACAGGAGTGACTTGAAGGCTGAGTTCCAGCTACTGGTCTCCCAGGGTCAGACGAAGACCAAAGTTCTGAGGTCTGTGACCTTCCACATGCTCAGTAAGTCACTGGTGCTGTTAGAGACCCAGAGGCTGTCAGTACGTCCTCTGATAAATACTCCTGGGCTGGCAGATGTGAAAATGGCCGGAAGGGGTCGGAGAAGCTGCCCCTAGCTGGGAGGATGTAGTCTTTGGGGTCACACTGACCTGATTGGGTTCCAAGGTCAGCTTCTGACAGCTAACTGTGCCACCCTGGGTGACTGAAGACCTTGCTGGATCATTAATTCTCAACGTGGGAGCCGTCATGGCTCCGGGAAACCGATAGGCTGGGATACATGTGGGATTTAAGGCAGATGCCTGCAATGTGACAGCTAACCCTGACAAAGCCTCGCTGTGTGCCACCCTCTGCCTAGACACCACAGCAGGATGCTCACAGACACCGAGGGTAAGGAGGCCGTGGCACCCACCACCACCAAAGGGGTGTGGGTAGGCCTGCATGGGATAAAGATTCAGGGCAGTAGGGCTCTGGTTAGGCCTGGGCACTGTTCTAGCGGAGGAGCCACAGAATGGAGAAAAATGACATAAAGATATTGCTGGGAGCGGGAAGGGGTCCCACAGCCAAGGTGACAGGCTTGGCCCTCTCCTTGCGGGCGGGCGCGACAGGGATGAAAAGTCACCTTGGTGAAAATCCTGTGAAGTACTGTCTGAGGTCCATGAATGCAATGCTTATGGATTCTGCATTTGCTAGTGGGAGTGTGAGGGAGGAGGCAGGGCTGCCCTCCTGTGAGGGAGCCCCCTGCCTCTGTGGCAGCTGTGTAAGCTGACCACTCACTTCAAGGGGCGATGCCCTCAGCCTGCTGCCTCTGACTCCATCGGCCCCAGGGCCCTGTCTTTACTGTGTCAGGACTCATGGTCCAGAGAAACTCTCTGGCGGGGTTGGCCCGGCCCGTGTCCCCTGGGCTCTGATGACCCTCTGTGGTGGGGCAGACAGGGCCACGCTGCCCCAGCTCTTACCCTGCATGGCGCTCTGGGCATCCTCGCTGTGGCTCACGGGACTTGTCATCTCCTGTTCCTTCTCATTGTGCATCTGGGCATACACCGTCCTGCCTGGGCGTTTCCTGCTGGCAGAGGTACAGCTCAGCTCTGAATGAGCCCTTGGCTCTGAATGAGTCTCTTGTCGGGGCATGGTATAGACAGTCCCGTACAAGACAGTTTCCCAGGGAGCCCGCCCTCCAGCATGCTCCCTCCACCCTGTGTTCTGCCGACCATTGCTGCCACATATATCACCTACCCATTCTTTATCTAGACATGCTTATAACTGCTGAAGCCCAGTCCTCTTTGTCTCCCAGTGCCTGGCAGCCAGGACAGTAACGCACACACACCACTAACCCAGTCCCGAGGGACACTTGTTAAACTCTGTCCATCCAGATTTCCTGCAACTTGGCTTTCTAGTCCAGGCCCCAGGGAAAGCAGAGAGGGAGACAGAGCAAACCCTGCCCCGCTAGGACTGGGCATGTAGCACACAGCCACTTGTGTTGAGAATAGCCCCACTAACTCTAATAGGCCCGTTCAGAGACAAGGAGACAGGGGCCTAGGGATTGGTGCCAGTGAGAGATTGTGGAGGTAGGCACATTCAGTCCCTTGAGTAGCATAGAGGGTGTATGGGCCAAGTCCCCCTCAGGACGGGACACTCGAGTGATGGACTTAGATGTTGGGGGTGGCCCTGCCTGTCATTATAGACTCCCAAGTAACCAGTAGCAATCCTGCCGGCCCTGCAAGGGGCATGGTGTCAGGGAAAAATAGAGCTTTGGTGGTTGCGAGACTTGAGAACACTGAGTGGCTTGTTACCTAGCATCTCAGTGTGGAAGACAGTGTCAGTCAGAACATAGTCAGTGCACAGTTTTCATGGCCCAGGCGGATCTTAAAGCCTGGACGGATGGAGGGATGGATGAACAGGAGGAACTCCTCAGTTTCCCTCCACTGACTGCTCAGAATTCCCCTGCCCTGCTCTGCCCTTTTCCCCTTGGGGTGGTCTGGAGCTTGTGGGAATGGACATTTGGCCCTTGCCTGAGCTCTCTGTTTCTATGGCAACATTTCCCACCCCTTGAACCTCAAAGCCTGAGCTGGTTCAGAAAGATGGCCTTGGCCCTGGGGATGTTGGGTCAGCCTCACGCTGGACACATCTGGCCCCTCCTTCTCTTGGCACGTGGCAGGCTGTGTCCTGTCTTTTGGGCCATCTGTACCACGTGCAGCTGGGGTCAGTTTGTCGAAGCACCACTGGACACTTGGGAAGTTTGCACGGTGGGGCTGACGCGTTGTCCACGGGGACCAGCTCCATCTGTCTCGGGTGAGTTACGCTGCCCTCTAACTGACTACCCACAGCCCTGCATGTCCCACAGGAGGGGACCAAGTCCAGAGAGACGTTCGCACTTGAAATGACATCCACCCGCACAGATGTCCGGAAGCATCCGGACCCAGGGCTTTGTCCTGCCATTCACTCCTCCACCGAGGGCCCATATGCCACCATTCTGGAGCTACGCAAGGCAGGAATGCTGGCTTCTTTTTCTTCCTCTCCCTCAGACTCCTCCACTGAATCCCTTCTTACAGAAAAGCCTTTATCTGAGGCAGGCCCATAGCAGGGCAGCATCTGGCCAGATCTCAGGGGTGCGCTCAGCACGAGGCCGCCTGAAAGACTGCCTGCCACTTAGATCCTGGCCCTGAAGGATGAAGGGTACTAGAGGCCAGAAGTGACTGGGAACCTGTCGTATTGGCCTATACTGAAGTGTTCCAAGGATGCCCCTGCTGAAAAGTTATGACCAGCAGGCATGAGGCCTTGAATCCAATTGGGTTTCACAATGGGGGTTTGCTGGCTGTCTGCCTCCAGGCAGCATGACCATGCTGTAGAAAGGGCTTGTACCTTCCCATCACCACCCCAGGGCTGCCTTCAAGTGGAGCCTATGAAGAAGGCTCTGAACTCTGCCAGCACTCAGCCTAGCTCCACACACTGACATAGCAGATGAGGGACATAGTTGGCTCCCATCATTCTTGGAGTTATCCCATGTTCACTGTGAGGACAGGCCACAGAGGAAGGAGAGTGTTGAAGTCTGTATAGGATGTGCATGGTCTCTCAGCCTTGGAGTCTCTGGTGCTCTCCTCAGGTCACTGGGAACCCCTGTGGCAGTCATAGCCAAGGTGTGGGAAGCCAGGAGACAGAGGTCCAAGAGACCAATCCTGCCCCATCAGCCTTGGACTTTGTTCTCTGTTTCCTTGAGCCTTGCATCCTTATCTGTAGGGCAGAGAGTATCCCCTCCAGGGAGGGGGCGTGAAGGAGCAGATGCTCTGAGCCTGTACAGAGGACCAGACCAAGAAGAAGGGAGTTTGAGAGTTTCCTGTTCACTGGTACGGGGAAAACTCACATCCCCTTCCTCGGTGGCCTGTGGAAGCCACCACCTCTGGGGCCATGAGCTGCTTGCCACGTGTTAAGGCTGCCAGGAGGCCTTACCTTTTGAACTTGTACAGGATGAATGCTCCCACTGCAAAGAGCCCGATGACAAAGAGGACCACCACAGCCCAGTAGCCACCACTGCCACCTGGCCTCTGAGGACCTACAAGGAGAGTCGCAAGAGGAGATGCTGTGGGCTGGTTGTCCCCAGCCCAGGTTTGGATGAGCCTACTTTATGTTGTCCAGCAGGCCTTGCCTATGTGGCTAAGTGTATAGCAGGTTATCAAGGATAAGACCATGACACATGACCTTGGAGGATTGGCCTCCCTTCCTGACAAAGTCCCACTATAAGTAGGGCCAATTTTGGCAGGGTTTCCTTCAGAGGGGAACAGCGCCCCCACTTGTGTATTGGTTTTGAGTGAATTGGCAGGTTCTTGGTTGTGGTAGCTGCACCATACAGATCATGCCAGATGGTGAGGCTCAGGGCTGGCTGTGTAGAGGTTGGTGTAGCTAGCCAGAGATATCCCAGAAGGGTCACTGGCAGCTAGATAAAGGCTCATTCAAATCCTACAGTCACTTTCAGCATGCACGGGCCCAGGCCCAGGCCTACCCTGCCCCAAGGAGGACCCAAGCCAGGTCTGTCACCTGCATCTGTGTCCCTCAGGTCCACCAGGATGCGGAGCCCTCTTCGAAGGATAAAACTGATCCTATGAGAGTTCAGTGCCTGCTGCACAGCTGCCAGTCTCTGAAAGCAAAAACGGTGGGAGAGTCCTGGGGCTTAGAGTACTGAGAGCCCCTTGGGGCCGGGAAGGGAGGCTGCCTGACGCTCAGGGTTCTCGTCAGGAAATGGCATGAGAGCCCAGCAGCTGAGTTCACTAGGAGCCATTGAGAGTACAAGTAGCCCCGCCACCAGCAAGCTCTTGTTTTAGTGTGGAATAGATAGAAGACACAGGTTTCGGGGTGTGTGGGTGGAAGGCTCGGCGTCCCCAGGAGATCCCACCCTGGTCATGCTCAGTGAGGCTTTCAGGAAGTGAAAGGTCACAAATATGAGGCAAAGCAAAGCATCCCACCTATGAGGGGAGTCAGAAGCGGCTGCTGGGTTAGGGAGTGCTGAAGGGGGTGCACAATGCCCCTTTCCAAGACCATTGTAACACATTACACACCAGAGTTCACCCAAGCCTCACCTTCCTCATCACCTATCAGTCACTGTCCAGGGCTCAGTATGGGGACCCAGCTGTGCCCTCTGACACTCATTTCCATGTGGCTATGTCTCTGGGATTCTGACCTTAGCTAAATCCGCTGGGGCAGAGCTGGAAGCTGTGATAGACAGAATCCCAGCCTTTGGAAGAGAGAAGGCTTTGCGCCATCTGCACCCTGGACATACTCCTTTCACCTTGACACCAGGGGGTAGCCAGCCTTTGGCCTCCTGAGTGCCTGGCTAGCTATCACTGTCCCTGTGAACTGTCCCTGTCCCTGTCCCTGTGAACCTTCAGAATGGTGCCGGTTGTCCCAAAGGGTGCTCAGCACTCAGCGTTTGGGAGCCTCTCTGATTACAGTCTCCAAGGTGCCCACCATCAAGGCACCTCATGGAGGATGTATTCAGACCCCTAAGATTACTTCTGGTTTGCTCTGTAGCCTGAGGATCAGGGTCTTCCACAGTGCTTACCCATGTGTCTCAGTACTCCTGGCAGTGAAGCTGAGGTCACAAGACAGTTCCAGACAATGATGTGAGAGTGGAGACCATCCCCACAAGCTGGCCTCACCTCCTCCCCCTGGAAGCTGCCTGTCTCACTAACCTTGGATGCTGTTGAGTGAGGAGCCACAGGCAGATGGTGGTACCCTGAGTCAGATGGCATTATAGGAAGAAATACACCTTTAGGGGATGCCTCACAGAGATGTGGTTATCAGGAGTAACCCCGCTTGGGACTTGCTCTGCATAGAAGACCTGGGCACAGGTGGCCACAGCCATACCTTGTCACTTGTGAGGCTCCTCTTCCTTGTGGGCCTGGGAGGAGGCAGGAGTACATACAGGTCTGCTATGGTGGGCAGACCTGGTTTCACCACAGTCACTAGCAGCTCCTCCGGGATGCTGGTCTCCTGTGGGGACAGGCAGGACACTTGGGTCCTCTTCTGTTCTTCATCCTCTGCCACAAGCTAAATTTCCAAGCAAGATCTGCTCTCCCTTCCTGGCCTAGGTATGTCCTGTTCACCTGTCTTGATCCATCCTCCTGACTCTCAGCACCGTGTGGGTTCTGGCTGTGGCCCTAATGCTGCCCCACCTGCCTAGGCCTGACTTTACAAGCACTTCCTCATCCTGAACCAGGGCTAGGCTAGTGTGCCCTATTCTTGAGGTGACACGAGGCCCTGCTGACTCCTGCGGTCTGCTCCTTTCTGCTCCCCAGACTTGACCATACACCTGTACAGCCCCTAACGTTCAAAGTTCAGCTCCTGGGTAGCCCCCCGCCTCCTGGGAGCCCCACTCCATACACTATGAGTTAAACGCCTGTTCATCTCTTAATCTTTAATGTCTAGTGCAGTTTCACTAGCACTATTCATGGGATGAAGGAAGCATGGTCAGGATAGGTTTCTGCCTGTGGTAGTCTTAGATGGAGCTAGAGGCCTCTCTCTTTTTTTTTGGGGGGGGGACCTAAGGACTTGGGTATCCCACTGCCCACTCCACTGCACTGCCTTTGCCTTGAGCTTCCTGAGAGAAGTGATCATCTATGCTTCCTTCTTTGCGTTAGGAATCTGGCACAGAAAGAACACAGAAGGGAACTGGCGGTGGCCTTAAAAGCTCTGCCCACCAGAAGAGGGGAACATACAGTGTTTTGGCTGTATAGGGCAACGTCCCTCCCTTTAAGATGTCCAGCTACTGAGTGCTTGATCCAGGGCATCAACCCAGCACTTCCCAAGCAGCCACCAGGCTTGTCCCACCCTCGTTCATTAGCCCCCAGACCACACCATGGCTCAGACTAAGAACTGAAGCCCAAGCCAAGGGCACCTTGGAGAGAAGCCGGGTGACCACCAGCCCCACGTCCTCCCTCCATTCAGGTGTGTTGGGGTTGAAGGTGTCCAGGTCTCTGGAGAACTGCAGAGGCACCACCTGGAATTGATCTGGAAGAGGAGAGAGTAGAACCAGTGAGGTCTGGAGCATGGCTGAGACCCTGCACAATGTACCACATGCCAGATGGTCTAGATAGCCCCACAACTATCCCCATGGCCCTGGTTCTGTGTGTGGAAGAGAAGAGCCTGACATGTACTGATGATGAGTCGCCATCAGCCTGCAAGAGGGGATGGCACTGTATGCACCCGCTCCATGAAGTATGCTCCTTAACTTACCAGAGTGCATACCCTCTGATGTCATCCAGTTCCTCAAGGACCCATGGACTTCAACTCACTGGTCACCCCACCAAATCAAGAGTCCCATGAGATCGGAGGCCTCAACTCATGTACATTTCATTTCCCAGACTCTCAGCTCTGTTCTAGAGACAGGTCTAGCACTATGCTGTCACACACACACACACACACACACACACACACACACACACACACACACAC